ACATTACATTACATTACGTTACATAACATAACATAACATAACATTACATTACATTACATTACATTACATTACATTACATTACATTACATTACATTACATTACATTACATTACATTACATTACATTACTTTACATTACATTACATTACATCACATACACTACATACATACATACATACATACATACATACATACTTTCACTTTCACTTTCCTCGATGCAAAGACTGCACTTTGCTACGAACGGGAGGACAGGCTATGAAGCCCGGCTCTGCTGTGTGCTTTCACACATCCTCCACCCAACCTCGGGATCTAGTCCCCGGCACGAATGCCCAAAAGCAAGACTAGTCGGCCTTGTGAGCAATATAGAACAGCAGATAAATGTCTTGACTCAACGAACACAGCTCAGCATCGCTAATAGGACGGGCAGAAACACCATCATCACCAATGTAGTAATTGAGATCCCTAGCACTACAGAAAACATTATGATAGTGGCCGTGATCTGGGGCTTCACCCAGATGAATGATGCAGGCACTGAGGCGGTATGAGTAGTTGAGGCACTGCAAGCTCTCAGTAAAGGCAGGAACACTAATCATCGGGTCGAGCTGAACCCTGTAACGACGTTTGATGGCCCTGGACTCGCCCGCCTCGAAATCAAAACGACAAAGCTGAAACACTATCGTCTCAGCTGGCACAAACATGGCGTGCGTCTGCTCCTGCATATGCCACTGGTGGATCAAACTTTGAACCGAAACCGCCAAGCTACCATCCTCAGCAGTGCTACCAGGGGAGGGCAGTAGCAGGGGAGCAGAACTGCCCTGGTCAAGGACAGCGCTGGGCTCAGTCCCCAACTGAGACCTAGCCTGCCAGGAAATTTCAATGCAAGGATTGTGTAGTAAGGTCTTACCACATAAGAATTGCAGAAACTCAGCAGCATCATGTTGCCTAGAAGGGGCGCTCCATCCTTGCATCAGCCCCAGCCATACTGGATGCATCCAAAGATGTACAACGGATGCACCCGCCTTCCTAATGAGCCCCTGTAGGAAAGCTGAGTGGCTCTCTCCGAAAATGCCTGGGCTACAGTTCTCCACGCTGGACAGAAACAGCAAAGCCCTGAGGACCGAGTTCGCGTAGCAGAAGTTTCCTCTATTACCAAGTTTCATCGCAAGGAGTTGAAGTTCCGTCACTTGGAGAGTGCCGCTACTTTCTTCGCTAGGGCGCTCATGTGCAGACGCTCGTGCCTGAGGAAGACTCCCGCCGCCTTCCACGACGCTGATTGCTGCAAGCGGTGGAGGTGGTTCCAAGCAGACTGGGCCTCCGGGGTGCGCATCCCGATCTCCAAGAACATACCCAGCGTCGGGGCGGCATACTCCTCGCTGAGTTTTCGCATGCCATGGAACCTGGCTATGACCAGGGTCTTGGTGCATAGTACCATCAGCTCCTCCAGGGCCTCCTTGATCGCGGTGATCGTCTGGGGCTCCAGTGCAGGGTCCTGCACATGTTGTCTGGTCTCCGGGTCCCATTTCAGGGCCGGTACGTTGATCCCATCTCCCATGAGCAGTCCAAGGTTTTGAGCCGTTGAGCGGGATGACGGTGAGTCGATCATCGCCTTGAATTTGTTCAGCACGACCTCGATGAGGTGTTGGAACAATATGACCCGGAGGGGGGCATGGAGTCGTTCCGGGTGATCTCTCTTCGTGTTGACCCAGGTTTCCCCCATCTTGTACAGGCTGGTGGCTATGTTGTGGGGTCCTCTCGTGTCGAGGAAGAGCACGAACGATGTGTCTTGTTTGCTCACGTTCTGTTGAATCTCTTGCCTGATCACCAGCGTGGTGAGCATCCCCAAGGAGGACTTCATCTCCGCCAGTTGTTTGGCAAGGTCCTTGTCCGAAGTCTCCCGCTGTCGCCTTGGTGGCTTGCCCGAGTCCCGTGCCGCCTGGAGCGTCGACTCGTGGGACCATGAACCTGTGGAGGGCGGCTGTGCTCCTTGTCGGTTGCCTTTGCCTCCCTGTCTGCCGTAGCCCTTTGGGTGGGACCTTGGCCACTTTGGCTGGCGATCCATGTCCGATGTCGGGTCCGCCAACAGTTCGACCTCCTGGCTCTCTGTCTGGGGTAGAAGGGCCCGGAGCATGTGGAGGTCCTGCGTCGCCTCCCTCAGCTCGAGAGGGATTGAGACTTCCATCCGGGAGCCGAACACATCGTGCATCCTTAGCCTCCTGGAGTCCTAGCAAAGTTTTGGAAGCACCTGCCAAGCCCAAAGGTCTGCCTCTGGCCAATCGTCTGTGCAAGTACACTCCCGCAAAGAT